CAATTTTCCTGGCAAACATGTCCCCCTAAGAAAAAGATAATTAAAGGAAAAGAAGTTCATCTTTGACAATGCCCAGAAGTTTTTTGCCCATACAGGAATTTTGCATCTACAGAAAGGTTTTGTGTTGTTCTGCTTTATTGTTTTGGGGGTGAAGAGGGAGGATGGCAGGTGGGTGATTGAATGTACTTGCAGGTGGAAGAGTTAGGAAATTGTTTTTGTGCTTTAGCATTGCCTCTCTGCAATTGTTTTTGGCTCTATTACTCTGTTATGAATTGCTCTTCCTGGATTGATCAACTTGACATACAAAGCTTTTAATTTTTTTTTAGGATCGGCCGTCTACCAAAGTCCATGCTGCCCCTGGTGGTGGATCTTCGCTGGGTTATCTGTTTGGAGGTGGCAACAACTAAATGTTGTGTATCATCAAAGATGAGATTGTTCTTCCCAAATGTCTAGGCCTCCTTTCAAATTGGGGCAAACAATATTTTCAACTGTTTGGAGACATTTTGAAATGTAATATAATCCTTTTTCTGGTTCAGTGTCAGGGACGGGATTTTAGCATTTTTATTGAACCTTTTGTTTTCATAGATGAGGAATCCCCACCCTGGCTTTTGTTTCTCTCAACTAAATCAAGTTTATCTACTGTTAACTGTTGTATTCTTCATGCTAATGATGTTTATTATTTGTGTGAATTACTAGGTGCGAGGTTCTTTAAAATTGACGTTGATCAGTTTGCTTGCTCCCTGTACGTTCCTTTTTCTCCTGTCTCCTAGAGTTACTGCTAATCCATATTCTTGACTGGATAGCATGTCTTCACAACGTAGGATGTTGCTTTTCTAGCATCACGCGTAGTAACTTCTGGGATGTTGGGCTTAACCTGGCACATATTTGCACGTCTGGTTGAAAACATGGAATCATTGCTAAAATATCGAAGAACACGTTACTGCCATGTGGAGGAGTTGCCATACTGGGGAGGATCAAATTTCAGGTAGAGATACGCATTGACGACTGCTGAAGACGTTAGAACATAACCATATCAATTTCACATACAAGTCATGGATGTAACATGTTCCAGGATGGCAGATGTGGTGAAGTCAAGCACTCGATTAACGTGTTTGATTAATTCAGTGTAATCCCAATAGTCTCTATGGTCTCACTGGTAGCGATGTCTGCATTCTGTAATTCGATCCATTTTTTTTTTCTTGTTAAATGAAGTGGCTAGGTGACATGCCTGCATCATTAAGCAATGCGCACCTCAGACTTTTTAGGAACATCATGACATCTTTCCAGATGCTGGTAATTTCGTGGCATCATGACATCTTCCCAGTTCTACTCACATTATGTGACGGTCTTCATTGACCACTTTCGATGGAGTTTCTACTCACATTGAGTTCCCTCCCCCCTCTCCCTAGAATAGACTAGCTTAGGTTATAGGAATTTTATCGTATCGACAAAAAAAAAAAAAAAAGACATCTTCCTAGTTCATGATATCATGATGGTAATTTCAAGGAGAAACTACTTTTTGTGCTAAGCTAAAAGTAACATGTTGATATCTTTACATAAACTATAATATGATTTAGAGGCTGCAATTACTATTTCCATACAAGGGAAAAGTGCGTTATCATACAGCCGCAGGGTCGTGCATCTAATTATCCCGTGGAGTTTGGTGTCATCTCTTCGTACCATAGTTAATAAAGATTGTGTAATATACATTCATACGTATCATTCAAAATATTTTCTATATTTCGTACATTTCAAAAATATTTTTAAAAACATTCATACTTTTTAATTAATCGTATATAACACGTAATAAATTTTTAACATATTATAGTGTGTGAATTATACTTCAATTTTCCAAAAAATTTAAAATTTGAATAAAGATAATGACATACTTTTTGAGTTTTATATATAAAATAAGAGTGTTATATATCATACAAATGGTAGATTTATACATATTTAAGTAATGAAGTGATAAAATTTTAATAAATTTAACATCTAATAAATAAAAATAAGTTTAAAATTGGTATAAATGTACCATAGTCTTTGAAAATTATAGTAAATTTATCCAGATTTTCAGTTCCATATCTTTCAAATATGTTCGTACTATTCATGTACGAATTTATATGCATAATTATTCCAAATACGTATTTTTATGTCAAACTTTTAACCATACTTTTGCAAAAAAAAATTCCGTATAATATACATACATATAATATCTTGTATTATACCCTTCATGTATTTTACTAACTATGCTTCGTACTTTGAACCTGTTAAACTAGGACTGCAGAAAAGAAATAGAAAAAGTCCTCATTCTAATTTCTAAAGGAACAAATTTGGGTAAAGGATACAACTACCATATAACTGTAGATGTCAAGTTTGATCTCATAGATGAAGTCTGCAACCTGCACATTCCAAACCTGAGATGAAACAAGAATAAATCTGCAGTAGAACCCATATTGATGAAAAAGAGCATGCCCAAATAATGATTGAGTTGTACTAAAAGGAAGGAAATGTAGCTTGCATAAAAGTTGAGCCCCTTCGACAGAGAGCTTGAAAAGCAATTTCATCCTCATCGGGATATGCATTTGAAATGGCTATTCAAGTAATGATTAATGATATATATCATAAGCGATGAGTAACAACTAGAATTAGGAGTAAAACTGTTCCAATTCAGAAATACAACTAAAATTAGAATCCTACATAGTATACAATTGATATTGCTGAATAAGGAGCACTTGTACGACTGGCAGCAAATCCACTAGTTAGCAATGGAGATTTCAAGGAATCACCATAGATGTACAATTGGTTAGTGTTTACTTTGGAATGTCCTAAACCGATATCAAAAAAGAATGTTGTCAACTTCAGTAACTGATTGTGCGGGATGGTCCTTCATGAGGAGAAAATCTTACAAAATTCTGCCACCTGCCTTGATAGAGAAGAAGAATTAATCATATTATCCCAGCTTGTAACTGAATATGTCACATTTCCCAATAATGCTTGCAAAAATCTTACAAAATGCTTGCAATTGACTTGCAGCATAATTTAATGCAGGTTATTATAAATATCTTGCTCTGCACATGCACAAAAATTAGCTCAAATTTGCAGAATGACTTCAGTTTGCAGTACATATTCAGCTATGTATTTCTGACTTCAATTCTCCCGTTTATCAAAACAATGTAAGCAATACTGCACCCTAACCTAGCCATGAGGTTTATATCAAAACTTATTTTCAGCACTGACAAAATTCCAGATATCCAGTCCGTCATCTTAGAGTCTAAGATTCAATTTTCCTATACAAAGCGCATTGACTGATAAAGAACCATAAAGGTTTCAGTATACTATCAGTTTAGAAAATTTACAGACTTGTACCATCGTAAATGAACAAATTAAATAGAATGAAGTCTGTAACAATATGTCCCATTTATGACACATCTAAGCTTATAAAAGTGAATGGACACTCATGGCAGACCTGTGCGTATGTCATAAATCTCACCTACACCATGCCATATCAGTCACCCATCCAAACACAGACACACATAGACAAACATATAAGAAATATTAACAAATTTTAAATTTTAATAACATCCCAATAAAATTTTAAATTTTAAAAACACCTCAAATTTTTAAATTTTAAAAACATCCCCAAAAACACCTAATCCAAATGGATCATCTACAGCAGAAAGTTTTTCAAATGCAATGCTACAGTAAAGTTTTTGAAAAACACCCCGTAAAAACACCACCATCCTTACAGACCTTTGTCACACCATATTCTTTGAACCCCTTTGTTCAGTGATTCTCGTTTTCCATTTTTAAGAGCCCAATACTTTATTTCGTATAGTGAATAAAAGAAGTTAGAGATTCTTTCTGCTAAATATAGTTCTGACCTTCTGCTCTGTGTCACTTGGACTCGAGTACAGGCGTCCGATTCAGGTATGTGTCTAAGTGTCTAATTCGTCAACCATCTAAAATTAGGATACGGGGACACTTCTAAAGCCTTAGACATGGGTATGTGGGTATGGCAAAATTTCTGGTAAATATATGAATTATACAGTACAGCCAACATACAAGTCATAGCTCACTAAGGGTTGGATAATTCTAAATTAACCAAGAAGTCATAGCTCAAGAAGATTCTAGTTTAATAAGGACTCCAATGCAACAAGTCTTCTACATCTATCAGTTTTCTCACCCAGGTCTTCTCCTCTTGCTTCGACATCAGACCTCACAAAGTCAAAAGTGTCCAAAAATTTTTCAAAGTGACGGACACATATCCCATACCAGCACCAGTGTCGTGTCATGTCGACATGGGTGCTTTGGGATCAAATGAAGAGTCTGACTAACATAGCTTCTGCTCTGTCAAGTCTTAACTTCATTATCCTTTGGTGTTAACTGCATTATGCAAGACTCAAAAATGGGGTAAACTAGATGACAAAAGGAATCCAACATGTCATCTCAAAAATAAGATGAAAAAGAATGGCTCTCAGTGAGGGAGAGCAGCTGGATGTATTTCTGGTTGGAGAGTTCACATTTTCTTTTGTCATGACACTGACAGCTAGCTTTTGATGCTTCTAATTGGACTCTTAGTATTAGCTCAAATTAAATGGTGCAACTTTACTTAAACCTTTCAGACCAAAATGTCAAATATAGAAGGGATTTACATGCCAAAACATGTATCAGCTCGGCCATGTAAGTTTCAAACATTTTAATCTGTATGCTTAGAATTACTTCAAATATCTCTATTTCAGTTTGTAGCTATTAAACATTTTCTAAAATACAAGTCAGCCAACAACTGTTGTGTTCCTTCTCTCTCCTTTGTTTCACTGCAAAGCCACTGGCATCTTCAAACTGTATACAGAGAGTAAAACTTGTCTACAACAATGCTCAAGTCAACAATATCATGTCTAACAACCACTTAAGATATCGTCAGCAGACATCAGGGTAGACATAGGTTTGAGAGGCATTAATTAGCCTGTAATGCAGAAAAAAATATGTTTGACTTGAATCTCTGCAGAAGATATTCTTGTTGATCATTTCATTCGAGGCATTCAGTCATTCCAGAAACCTTGAAAAGTGTCATTAGCAGTAAACTTCTGTCACAAGAATACACATTTTATCAATATACTATAATTCCTTATTGGGTGTATGCTTTATAATAATCCTAAAAGCTAACACCCAAAGGATTGTTTATTTCCCAAAGAGTTCTGCATTTTCTTTAAATTTGGTTTTTAAGCTTCTCAACCTTTTCTCTTTTTTCATTAAACTTAAGCACCCTTGCGTGCATCCATATCAAGTTCAGTAGCTCCCTTCCAGCAACTTTATGCCTTCCTTTGTGCGCTCATCATCAGAGGAAGATTGATGACAAGTCCTATCATATTGCAACGGGACAAGGGCATCACAAACAAATGACAAATCTTGGTGCAAAAGCTACTGCAGAGCTGGAAAGAGACAGATATACAAGACTATATACTTCAGGACCAATTCATCATTGTAAACCTCATGAATATACTTTACAAGGTTCTTAGTAGTAGTGGAAACTTAGACGAATGCCAAAGATCTGATCAAGAGTCTCAGATGTAGTGGTAACCCATCTCTAATTTCTAATGGCAATCAGTTGATCAACTTCAAATATGAGATATTATTTGTTGCATAAAAGACAAATGTTGCCAAATACAAGTACTATCCATGATGCAGATGCTGAAGATTGAGATAAATTATTGGGCTTGGTTTTTGAAGCACTTTTAATTTGGTTTATCTCATGTTGATGATAATGTTTTTGGTTTCAAGGTCTTATTTGTTATTAAGACTCTATTTTCTTTCTTTTCACTGGAACATTTCCAAAATGGTACACATTGGCCTAGCCATTTCAACAATTCACCAGTAACCAGCTTGAAACCAAGTTCCTCTAGTTCTTCCTCAATTTCAAGGTGGATTGGGGTGGTGGGGGAACAAGTACAAAATCGGGTAATGCTAGGAAAACCTTCAAGTGAGTAGATCTAGGACACAGGGTCGGACCCTTGAAAATCAAGCCTGTCTGGTCCATGTTAAGAACCAATCCGAAATGTTGAGCTAGTGCCTTCATTTTACTTTCCATGCTGTTTGGTATTCCTTTAATTTCAAATTTGTATCACACAATATTCATTTTAATCAACATGAGTTGGTCTGAACCTCAAACTGGAAAGGTGACCATCAACATTTTCTATTTGCCCTTGGTGAGCTTGTTTAGACATAATATGGTAATTCCTGCAGGTCAAGTTTAAAATATGTTGAACTCAGAGATTTCCATTTCTGATGATGTAGGATTTGTGTGTTGTAAGATAGTGAGGCCCTCAGAATGGAACTTTTCTGTCAGAGTTCATCTTTTCTTGTTGGTCGGGTCGGTCTTTGCTTTCTTAAATTTTAGTTCAGGGAAAAAAAATTAACAGTGGTACTTTAAAGTAGACACATTTATTCTTTGGTGTACCATCACTGGTACTCCAATAATAACTCTTCTACTTGATCTCTAGTTTCTAAAGTGAATCTATGTACACAATAATTTTGATTAACAAACAGAGAAGTGATACATGAATGCTTGTTCCAGTAGATCTGAGGAGTATGGAACATATCATATTCAATATCACAAATTTCAAATGCAACTTCTTCTCAAATCATCTGCAATTGAGAAATAAAGAGACCTAAATCAGACTTCAGATGTCATGTCAGTATTGTTTAGGCCCCATTGGTTTGCAGCTTGATTTCGATTATATGGGATATCATTTCTGACTCATAAAATTGCCAGGGAAAATCCCTGAATCATCATAAAAATGGCATAATAAGGTACACTATTGACTCTACACATGCTAATGCTTTTCCTCTGAGGAGAAAAGCAGAGACGGAGATGGGAGGTGGCAGGAGGTTGGCAATGGATGAACATTATCAAATTCTAAAATTTTTGAAATGTCATACAATCTAATATTTAGGACTCTGATTTCCAGAAATTTTGAACATTTTCCCACTTTTAAGTTTCCTTTACATGGAGTACCTTAAATCCCAAGGCAATGTGCATACAAAGCCACAAATACCTGAGTTGAGAGTTCACATGTACTTCAATTACCAAATCTTTCTGACTTGGAAACTATTTATGGTGTAGAATTGGACAGTCAAATGTGCTACTGGTAGATTATTTATCCCTTGAATGGAGACAGAAGACAAGATTTAGATCAACAAAATAGTGCACAAACTGCAAACTCAGACCCAAATCCATGTTGTACAATCAGATCATCTGACAGTCCAAAAACTAAGAATCCAGACACATTCTTTAAGATATATCTACCAAGTGCCCTAGTAGCCATATAATAGAATTCAAGGACCAAAGAAAGTCTTATGCATTAAGCTTGCATAATTTCTATGAAGTAGTAAAAATATCCTGGTTGCCTTGATCAGAAACATAAGCAACTGGTGCTGTGTTACCTTAGTTTAAGGGTCAAGTCACACATTCCTTTGCTGTGGAAACGCAATCTTCTGGCAACTCACTGCTGGGGTGTGGCAAATTATTTAGCCCATTAGTCTTTATTTTCACATCTAGTGCTGCTGAAGGCTTTACAGCTCCAACCTGTTGATGGACAAAAACAGAAATGACATTTCCAAAGCATTTTTTACCATACTAACATCAAAGGAACTAAAGAAATAGAGTGATCAAAATCAATTAGATACACAAGGTTCAAGTCTAGCAAAGAGTGCTTCAGACTTCAAAAGGCAAAACCAACCACCGTTGCTAATTAGCTATTCTATGTGCATGAATAGGTTTTGATAAGTCAATATCATTAATAGGTGCCAAGCAGAGCAACCTGTCGTCAAAACTTGATTGGCAACCAAATGACAAATTTGCCCAAACAGGCATCAGATGGTGAGAGCAATGTTGCAGTTGATCCATCTGTTTCTAAGTCTTCTGACATTTTCTATTCCAGCCTTCTTACACAAAATTTCTACTGTTGAAGTCATGGAGGAATTCAGTATCAAATTGGGTGGAGAACTGACACATAAGTAGTTTTTTTTTTCTCCCTTTCGTCCTGTCCAATCAAATTGGCACATTAACATACCGAGATCAGAGCATTAGAGAAATACAAATCATGGCTCAATTCAACTCAAGAAATCCTTCTCCCTACTAGTTGAGTTTCATACATGAATATTTGCCTTCATTCATCGTAGGACAAATTTCAATTTGTACCGACAGGAGTTGCCATGTCTCTTTTTTCTTACTTCACGAAGATCATATTCTCGTCTTGTACCAGAAAATAATGCTGGTCTTTCAATTATGGAGGACAGTTTGACTATTAGTTTGTTCTATAATGTTTAACTCAAATAAAATCATCTTAATCAATTTCTATGATTTTATCCTCGATGATTCCACTTCAGCGGGTCAACCATCAATAGGATTGATTGCTTTCAAGAATGACTTGGCCGCATGCATGAATGAAATGACACAATTTCCCAGAATGTCAATAATGTGAGGTTTGAAAATTTTCAATCTAAAAAGAGCAGTCCACATGACAAAAGAAAGGCAAGGCATAACCTCAAGGAACAGTAAAGCCTCAGCAGGTTCTTGAATCTTCATTTCAGTTGCAACAGCTTCCAACTGAGCCTCAGGTGGACATGCATTCTCCTGCACCACACCATGTGCCTGTATAACATCTTTGACTTTATGCTCTACGGGTCTTGTTATATTTGATGTGGTTTGATCACCATTTACCGTAGCTCCATCAGTTTCCACAGCTGCTACTTTCCTTCAATGAGAACATGGAGAAATATTTTGATGAAAATTTCAGGAAAGTTTCTATACGTGATATCCGCTATTCATGTCCGGCCCATCAATAAATAAATAAATAACAGCTAACAATCCTGACCTAGTAGAATCATCGACTTCCATGCTATTTATTGGCTTATTGCGAAACAATAATCCGTGAAGAGGCTTTCCATCGATAAAAGTTTCAATTGTGTAGCCATCTGCAAAGCTTTTAGTAACCCTGGCTTCAAATGTCTTCTTCCCACCAGCAGTCTGGTATTGGTTCTGATGGATGTTCTGTAAGTCTGCAATTGGATAAATGCATTTTTAAAGCAAATTAACATCTTCCAATAACTATTTTTGCATAGCAAACCATTAGACAAGGTATTGAATAAGCACTGACTTGCCAGATATTCACACAGTGCTGATGAAGCAAATTAGTTTGTTGACAAAACACTTCCAAGTATGCATGCACACAACATGACAGAAGTCACAGAACAGATTCTAAGCTAGAGATATCCAAGTCTTCTAAAAACCTAAAGGTTACCTAACTCATCATTCTATTGGCAGCACTAGGGGTGCAGAGAAATCGAGTAGCTTGAATCGAGCTCGCGAGTAGCTTGATTAGGTATTCGACTCGAGCTTGATCGGATTCGATCTCGAGTCGATCTCGAGCTACTCGCTACAGGAAACGAGTCGAGTTCGAGTAGTTAGAAGGAAGAATTGTTAGCTCGTCGAGTAGCTTGATTGTGTATTGTATGTTATTTTAGTTATCAATTTACTCTTTTAGGTTTGTTAGCTAGTCTATTTACGGGCTTAACCAGTTATGTTGTAGTAATAATGAAGGGTGAATAAGTAATTTTGGCTTGAGAAATGTGATGAAATGATGAAAACTAAAAACGAAAACTGAAAACTCCTTGGTCCTTCCTTCCGTCGTCCTTCATTCTTCTTCGTCCTCTTCAGTAGCTCAGCTTCAGTCTCAAATCTCAATCCCTCATTCTCTCAACTGTTACACGTCGCAAGGCAGCCGCGACATCAGCAGTTAAGCACTTAAGCTAATCTTCCCTCTTCCTTCTCCTGGAGCTCAAAATGGAGTAGATAGCAGCGGTGGGCAGCCGACCTTTGAGCGAGGGATTAAATTAATCAAAACCCACCAATTTCAACAGCTGCATTTGACAAATTGAGGTACTTATTTGTGCATATCTGTAGTAAATATGTGCATTATGAGGTTAAATTTTGTAAATGTAATATTAATTTTTAATATCGAAACCCTATTGCAAAAGAGTTTCAGTTGATTCCTTTGCTGTCTTTTACGCAGTCCTCTTTTCTCCATTCTTTTTGGTTTATGGTAGAGAAGGGTCCACCCAATCTGTGTCTGTGTGTGCTTTAAGCACAAAAGAAAGCACATTTGAATCTTGATCAGATCAGTAACTATTTGCTTTCTTTTTTGTATAATAAGGATGCATTTCCTGTGAGAAAATTAGAACAAAGGAGCAGGAAAATGCCTTCCCCAGTTTTACCTACTTTGATGTGGGGTAGAAAGCAAAAGCTTTAGTATAGCATCAGCTGTTGTCATTGCTGATTAGCTAGAAACAAATGCTGTCATCGATCTCGAGTACTCGACTCGATAGTGAGCTCGAATGCAACTCGAGCTCGATTGAGTCGAGTTCGAGCCTGCTCATTTTATTCTCGAGTCGATTCCGATCTTAATTTCCCGAGCTTGCTCGAGCTCGAGCTCTGGTGGATGGCGTCGAGTTCGAGCTCGAGTACGTCACTACTCGAGCTCGACTCGGCTCGATTTCACCCCTAGGCAGCACTAGGTGATGATGCTTACATCTTCCAGATGACAATGGTTAAAAAGCAGCCAAGGTGCTAAATAAAATTTGGGACAACATAAAACTTAACCATTCTAGATGTACTTGGGTCCAAGCCAGCACATGGACACCTGTCCACTCTTCGATGGTAGCAGATATACAACCAAGCAGCAACAAAGATTTGATGCTCAAATATGTATTGTTCAAAATTAAAAGACAATGATTCTTTGCAGTAACATTTCTATACAGTGACTTCCAAGAGTGCCTCACTGTTCCTTCCAACCATACCAAAGAGCAGTTCTTGCACAAATGAGTTAAGATCTATAACTTATACTGTTGAATGGTTCGTTCATCAATTCTATAATTTATTAGTTCAGGTTGCCTCCATTTCTTAAGGAGAATTTTGTCATCATGTTATTGCCGTTTTTAAGAAAAACGTTGTCAAGTTTGAAACTCAACAGGCAGGAAAAAAATCAAGGTTTAAAGCTGAGCATATTGTCAAACATTCCACCCAAAAAAAAGGCCTACATATCAAGTCATTTTCAAATTCAAGCCTTAAGTTCAGCTCTGATAATTGACCAACTATGAGTTCTAATCCTATGGTGCAAAATGCTGCGAAAAGGAGTGGTCGTCAACCACTGTACACTGCTTCCCCTCTGAGTTCATTTTCTGCATTCAGACCTACATATCAATATGAACCCAACAAACCGCAATTGTGAAGTGCACACATCCTGTCATCTTTATCCAACCACCATAGACCAGAGACATAGCCTGCTACCCTTTTTACCTTACTTTTCATGACCTAGTTACTGCTCCAAAGACTCCTAAGAACTTCAAGGAATCAGATTTAGATGAATCCCAATTCCTTATCTGATTTTTTTTTATGCGAAGAAATAGCAACAACTGAAGAAACTTAATACTCTACGTGTAAAATAAACTAGTCAAAAAAATGCAAGATGGCATAGAAGAAAATTTTACCAAGAAGGAATAAAATAGATCTTACTTGGTTGGACATAACTAGTGACATGCATAGGCTGGTGAGTAGCAGCAATACCCTCAGCTGTTACAAGAGGATTTTGTTCTTGACATCTCAACTTCAGCTGTTTCCTCATAGACAGCTTCTCCAGCCTTCTCTCTTCTCGCCCATATTCCCTAGTCAGCCCTGATAGTAATTACCACATCCAAAAACTAACACTCAATTATAGAATAATCAAAGCAATCCAAGAAGAATGGCTACAAATTATGAATTGAAAACGAGAGAGGAAAGAAACAAACCTGTGTATAAGTAATACATATCTGCCAGAGCTTCAAGATTCTTATTGCAACCACCCATGAATACAAGCACACCTCCCATATATGGATCCAAAACTTCCCCAGCCATGGAAAATCTGGCAGAAGGACCCTCACCAGTAGCCATTACTTTGGTCCATGCACCATTCTCTGCATGAGTTTTGCAACAAAGAAACATTACAAAATGATAGAAACAGATATTCTCCAGCGTTTTGTGGCAGAAAAGTTAAAATTTGTTGTTCACTATTGTTCACTGATGCCTTATGTGAAGAGTGATATCAGAAAACAGATGTTCCTTGCGTTCTATCATGCCACGCTAGAAGAAACAGTTTCCACTAATTATTAATCATCACATCTTGGATAATGGCATTAATTAAACTTATAGCATCTGCAGTTGGATGTTTATCACAGAGGTTAGGACCATCGTTTTAGGTTCTTAGTTAAACTTGGATGGGATGACATAAATGCAAGTGAAAATTTTCTGATACTGAGATATTAGGACCAGATAGAAATGAGGCTTAGTTCATCTGACAATGTTTAAGCTCCTAGATCTACTTAGATGTAGATAGAATCATATACAAAAGGTAGACTTATACTAGACCAATTAACTAAGCCTGTTTGCTAACTTCTATGACATAACCATTACCTTCAAGTGTACCTTCAGCCAACAAGCTTCAATGCAACATATGTTTCAGTGATTTGTTTACAAAAGTCTGGCATTCATATTATGTCCCAGGCAGGGGGGAGGAACAGGAAAAAGAAGCTTCATTGATTATTGGTTTTCAACCAAACACATATGAACAGCCATGCTACAAGAAACTGTATTGGGTAGAGGCAATCTTTTAGAATGAATTTCCTCTTCTTTTTTTCTCTTTTATCACAAAGTAGTCATATGCCTGCTTTTATCTACCACACCAAATGTATAAACAGAAAAAGAATACATACTTTTTTTTTTCAACTTGCCTCTCCGTCCAACAACAATAAAAACCTAGGTAGTTTCAAGAATAAATTTTACTAATAAAGCATCATGGTCCTTTATTGGCAGGGAGGTAAAATTAGCAGATACGTGTAGATAAAAGTAATGTATCATGACATTAAACATACCCATATCAAGAACATAAACATCATCATACAGATTCTGCTCATCAGAGAAACCCCCAAACACAAACAAGTACTTGCCCAAGGCAACAGTTGTATGTCCAGCCCGAGGTGGCAGCAATTGGCCTGTGGTGTTCAACTTGCACCAAACAAGACTATCTATTTAAAGGGAAATACAAAATAATAGTGTCAAATGGCAACACAGATTTTTGAAAAAAATGTGAAAGTCAAGTTTATTCTTCTCTTATTTCAACAAAATGGACGGCTAATTCAGCCATACCTGCATCAAGTATATGAACATCTGACAGATAGTAATCAGAAACGTCTTCACCACCAATCACAATGATTTTATTCTTCCAAGACGAACAGGTATGACTATCTCGCTTACTTGGTGGAGTACCAGATGGCTCAACACGTTTCCAAAAAAATGTCTCTGCAAATCATGGGCAAAAAATGAACATATTTCTCGACCACTGCTGATAGATGATTCTTTTTACTAACTTTCTATTCAATGCCAAAGCAGAATGTTTGAATTCAGCACATAACGATAAATTTCAAGTTTTTCCTGTAATGATTATATGAGTCATATCTAACATACAGATGACATACAAAATTCTAAATAGCCAGTTTCAGTACTGTACAGAAAATTAAATATTTTTATCTGAGGGGTCTGGATTTTATTATCTCTAATAATGACAAGCTGAGTGTGAAGATAACCCCGGTCAAAGCAAAAATCAACAATTTTACACGTATAATCAGTTCAATGTGTCAACAAAACATGAAATGAAAATAAGAATTGCACCTGTATTTAATATGTAAACATCATCATAGTACTTTTCAAGACCATCATATTTGCCACATCCACCAAAGATGAAGAGTCTTTTACCAATAAGTGCTGCACTATGGCCTTCCCTAGGTGCCGGTCCATCACCTCTGACACTTGGTGAGATCCATGTATTTGATGCTAAGAGAAGTGAACATGGCACTAATGGTTAGCCTATAAAATTAAACTAATTGTAGAACCATATGAATCAAATTAATTACCAAAATGTTTATCATGTTAAAATACTTGTAACAAAATATATAAGTGTGCTTAACTAATCCACACCATTGAAATCAAACTAGTTACAAAATATGTATTGAATGTACTTAACTACTTAGACAACAACTGGATGATTACGATCTCATAGTCCCTTCATTTAAAAATAGAGGTCAAATTTTGACAGGGAATCATTAAGGAGGGTTGAAATCATAAAGTCAAAATGAAAGTGGGAACATATGCTGTCACTAAATTAATTAATTGGAGAACTAAGGGAAATTAGAAAACATGTATTACTCTCTCTTTTGGGGTTATGAAGTAATTGAAACAAATTTAATAGCCTAAAAGCTACACCTTTTAAAATAGGAAGAATTGATACTATTACTTACCCAATTAAAAACAGAAACAATGACAGTATTTTGGTTCGTACCAAAAAAAAAAAATTGACAGTATTTTGGTACAACCTAAAAATCAGAAATGACATCCACTTATAACAAAATGCCTAACTCCTTCCTGAACTACAAATTCAATAAGAAATGATAAGCTCACAGACTTAATAACTATTTCCAGGTTGATGTGGATGACAAGAGTACAAGTGTCCATAGAAATACATCTTGCTATAGATTCTCGTAAAGCATACTAGATATTTGGGTAGTTTATATAGTAGTGAACTCTTTATCCTACAGGAGCAGAGTACCTAACCAAATAATGAAAATTACTTAAAAACCATAGCCTGGTCTGAGTGTCCCAGTATAGGGCAATTTTCAGCAAAAGAACACAATTACAATATGGGGTACGTAAAACATAAGAAAAAACAATTATTTTCCCAGAAACTAAACTCAGCATGAACACAATCTTAGAGTAAAAGACTAGAATGGAAATTAGGAGAAATGGCAAGAATAACGCACAGGTGTCCAATATTTGCAAATCGCCAAGAGGACTTCTCCCATCAGTCCCCCCAAATACAAAAAGGTTATCTCCCACTGTGGTACAACTGTGGCTGTCCCTCGGGGCAGGTAGTACACCATTCATCGCCGGCTCATTCCATGTCCTAGAAACTGGTAGAATACATATAATATAAGCTAACTGAAATATCTCAACAACAGCTTTCTGCAGCTTAAAAGTAATATTAAATGAAAAACTAAGATAAACAATTTCAATTATCTCCCAAACACCAATATTACCAAAATCTAGATTTCAGGAACGGCAAAATCAGAGTGACGGATAAAGCACTAAATGTTACCAATGCACAAATTTAACCACAGTACACGAAATTGAAAGACAGACAAAATACCAACAAGAAAAACACCAAATTCTCAAGTACCCTTTAAGTATTAACAGTAAAGCCCCAGAAAAATCCGGCCCCAAGCCAGAATAAAAGCAAATTCCAATATAAAAAACAACCCTAGGCAAAGAGTTGCTGGTTAATTGCACCCTCAAATAATAGACTAATGAGCAGCTTAAACCTTTAACCACAACGTGTAAACACACTAATATAGTAATTGGAAACCCAAAAATGGTATACATACTAAAATATCCAAAAAAGAAAAAAGAAAAAAAAATAGAAAAATAGAAAAACCACCTGTGTCAAAGACATGAACTTTGTTAGTCTGACAGTTATCTTTTCCATACCCTCCAAAAACGTAGAGAAGCTTCCCTCCTTTAATGGCGTTGCAGGTGTGGCCCCACCTCTTCCCAGGTCCAACACCTTCTTCTACCTGCAACTTTTCCCATCTCATTTTTGTGGGTTGAGGCTGAATGATTCAATAGAGAGGCCTAAAAACTCAAGAAAGTGAGAGTTTTTTACAGGAAGAAAAAAGTGAAAAAATCAGATATTACTAATAATCAAGAAGATAATCAAGAAGAAGTGGAAAAAGATGGGAATTTTATGGGTTTCATTCTGATTTTCTTTTTTTCTTTAAAAAATTAGGATTTGGGTTTATGGGGTGGTGCTGCTGCAGATAATCAAGTGTCTTTTTTTTTTTTAAGGACAGACAATCAAGTGTTGGTTCATGCAGAGACATCTAACAAGTGTCATCATTTTAATTTCATTTTTTATAAAAAAAAATTAGGATTTGGGTTTATGGAGTGGTGGTGCCGCTGATAATAAAGCGTCGTTCATGCAGAGACATCGTACAAGTGTCACAGTTTCACAGTCTCCTTGGGCTAGGCTTTTTACTGAAGTTTAGTTTCCTTTGGTAATTTTGTTTGTTTGGCAGATTTAGGGCCCATTTGGGGTGCAATAGTTTATTGAGAAGTATTTTCTAATAGAATTTTTAATAAAAGTACTTATTAACTGTTTAAATGTTTTTAAATCTATTGTTTGAAAACATAATTCAATAAATATTTATTATATTGAATAATGTGTAATTTGAAAATTTTTAAAAGTTCTTATTTCTTTATTTGGTTCAAAATATAGTACAGTGCTTTGAAGAACAAAATCTCTATTTCTAATTTTATAAGATAATATTCACCAAACATTTTAAACTTTTTGTATTAAAAAATATTTTTCTACCAAAAGCACCACAATTCCAAACGAGACCTTAGATTACTTTGATGTTTAATCTTAGGCATAATTTCAGAAACCTCCATTGAGACTTTTAACAATTGTAGCCGCATCCCTTAAGGTTCAAAAAATTACAGAGACTTCCCCTAAAAAGTATGTTTCGGTGATAAATGGTGATGTAAGTATAAAAAATCTAACGAATATCCTATATTGCCCTATAGATTTACAAAACAAATTAAATGACAAAAGATATCAAATATCAGCATTACTTGCTAAATAAAAAATTTTAAGGTAGCTTTTTATAGCAAAATTTAGGCCACAAATATTTCAAGGCATCATTTTTTAATGTTTGGACTTCGTTTTTTTCTTTGCTAAGTAAGTTGTGAAGAAACTAATTTTAATAAATGCATCGCTACTAGTCAGCTATTTATAAAACTAAGCAAGAAATCCATTTAAATAACCTAGGAATTAAATATAATGTTTTAGGTGAGATAAGATTAGCACTTTTGGATAAAGAAATATTTGCAAGATGTGGTTTTCTTTTTTCCTTTACACTCACTTTTCACTTAAAATTTGTAGAGTTGTCAAAGCTATAATGGTCTTTTCATAACATCAAAGGAGATAAGTGTAATTTTTCAAACTTTAGGAAACACAGCTATAATTGTCAGAAACCTCAGAGGATGTTTATAAAATTATCCCTTAATCTTAGGTTCTGTTGAGTTGATGTAATCAAAAGGTGAAGATTTAAACGGTTCTACTTTAAACTTCACTTGATAGTACTAGTACAGGTTAGGATCCATTAGATTTCTCTCTTTTGTTCTTTTTACTTAGGGATAATTAAAAAAAAAAAAAAAACTCCTTTGAACTTCTAAAAATATCACTAGCCTCCATTGAACTCAATTTTTTTGTAATAGTTTAGCCAATTAAAAAATGCAGCAATAAAAAAATAACTTCAAGTGTGAGAAGATTTATTTATGTCAAAAGTGGCCTTCAACTTAGACTTGTCAATGGATCGGATACGAGTCAAAATTGAACATTTCGAACCCGGACCCTTTTTAGAATACATGTTCCGAATTCGATCATATACCCGATGGGTCTTACAGTTGATCTTCTGGATCCGAGCCCGACGAATCCTAAATACGGGTCGAGCTAAATACAAGTCGAATTTTATAATAAATAAATAAATTTTATAATTATTAATTTATTGTATAAATAAGTATATTTATTATTATAATAATAAGTATTATTGTATTATTATTATTATAAGTATTATTATACTAATTATATATTTTTTATAATTATTAATTTATTTAAACGGTTTGGGTTGAATACGGATCAGAATGCAATATTCCGTATTTGACCCACCTTTTTTATTAGAAAAAATGGGTTTGGGTTCGAATTAGATAAACGATATTATATTTGCACCCACACGTGGAAAAAAAGTTAGCGGGTCTGGGCCTGGTTCGGGTCTAGACTCGGATCGTTGATAGGCCTACTTCAACTATTATACTAGTTAGATTATATATTTGATCTAACTTATTAATTTATTTATGGGTTCGTTGCTACGTACGGTCAATAAAAATTTCCATCATCCATAACAAAAAATAACAACTTTCAAAATTTAACAAAACATTTTTTTCCATTCCTTAAAATTCTTGCTATCACCACAATTATAAGAAAAATTAGTCCAACTAAAATCTCTTTATATTTGATTCCTTTTATTTATCAATTACATAAATAGGAAAAAGAATGCCTAGTATTGGATCCCTTTTTAGATGCCAAATTAGATTTTCTTTTTTACATTTCAAATTATGGTTAATTTAGTTTGTAAACAGCTTAATTGTTTTTCATGTCTAAATCCTTTAATTTATCAATTACATTATGTCTGATATCTTTTATTTGTTAAGTATATAAAAATTAAAACAGATGCAGCTAATATTGGCTTTATTTTTAGATGGCAATTAAATAACTTTTTACAATCCAAATTATGGTTAATGTAGTTAGCAAATGTTTAACTCTTTTCCTTCACGTATATGTGTAATTATCCTAAATTATAAGGGTAATATAGTCATTTGGTCATTAATTATGTAAGAGTTGGGTCTCGAATGGCTGATAAGGGAGGTAAGTGAAAATTTTAAAACCTCACAGGAGGGCAGTGAAATTGTTAGAAATCTCAAGGGAGGCATCTAAAATTATCCCTTTTATTTATTTATATCTAAAATTTTATAATTTACAATTAAGTTCTTACTTTTCTTTTGATTTCTAGATCAACATACTAAAAAATAATATTTTTTTTTTGCGAACACTTTTGCATTTAATTTCTATAAAACATTTAAACGATGAAAATGAGTCAAAATTGTATCAAAATATATACTGATTAATCAAAAGGCAAAACTTAGTTAATTTCACTCAAAATTTTTATGTATATCTAATATAGGTAATGAAATAAATTATGGATATTGATTTTTAATAATAAACTTTAAATGGAATTCTCTCCAATACAATGGAGAGGAGTCTAATTCGTACTAGTACTACTAACAATTTACTCTAGTTTGTCCGGTAAATGTTGAATAGACACGGTTTATGAGGGGGTTCAAGGTTTAACTTTTTTTTGAAATAAAGTTAAATTTGAAGAGGATCCAAATAGTAGTACACTAAATGACATGATAAATTTGAATTATTATAATAATTAGTGCACATTATGTGCCAATCAAATTTTTTATTTTCTACTTGTTTTCTTGAATCATGGTAATGAGACTTGTAGTTAGCCTAAAGAAGTGGGTTTGGGGAGTTTTTTTCCCATCAGAGGTTTGCTCTCTATGGGTATTTCCTTGCATATGCAAGCCTCTTTCTTCCTAGTTTCTAGTGGAAGTTTCTTCCATGCTCTTTACCAGATCAATCTTCGTTTCTTGCTTTATCCTTCTCTAATTTTCTTCATTTGTTTATTTCTGTAAATTTCCTTTTCATTAGTTTGTAGTTGTGTCTAATTGTGTTTTAATACTTCTTTCCTTTAGCTTCCTCAGGTTGCAGTTGTAAGAGGTTGTCATCTTGGCACTTTTCTCTACTCTTTGCAACACTATATTAATCATCTCAGTGTTGTGGCTGAAGAATTGGAAAAAATGTGCCAAAATCTAATGCTTCGGGATGACGAAGAAGAAGTTATGCTAATGCTAGGAGAGAATGAGGCTGTTGACTCGATGTCAAGTGAGTTGTGTATTTTGGGAAAGCTTCTCACTCAGAAGCCTTTCAACAATGAGGCGCTAATGATCACCATGAAGAAAGCCTGGAATCCTTCCAAAGGTTTAACATACACTACCATTGGAGATAACCTTTTTCTATTCAAGTTTAATAGTATTATGGATAAGAGAGGTTTTTCTTGGAAGGCCATGGGCTTTTGATGATAATCTATTTGTTATTGGTGATTTTGTGGGAATGTGCAGCCATCAAAGGTATAATTAAACTTTTGTTCTTTCTGGGTCCAAGTTCACAATATTCCACTTGATGATTGCTAAAACTATAGAATTCATTGGCAATAGGCTGGGTGTCTACGACGGTCTAGATTCCAAAAGAGAAGAATTTCCATGGGGAAAATCCATGCGGATTAGAGTAAGACTTCAGATTGATCACCCACTTAAAACACTAATGAAGTTATTTATTGAAGGCAGCGTACACTCGATGCACTTTCGTTATAAACGACTTCCACTCATCTGTTATTTTTGTGGCAAAAATAGGTCATGGTGATTGGGATTGTGAGGATAAATTTAACTTAGAGACTGTACCTATAGGGAACCTGAGTATGGAGCTTGGCTTTGATTTAAGGTTGAAAAACAAAATTCAGGCCACCAGCCCAGTGAACGATTGTCGACAGCGAATAGAAAGGGAAGTTTCAATGAATTTGCAAAAGATCAGCATCCAACTTTGGGGGAATCATCAAAAGTCATAGAAGGTCATAGATTTGGCTAATTTGAATTCAAACTCAAAGTCTTCTGATCCTATACATGAGATTTGAAGAAATTTAGATTTGAATAAAGGCAAATCCCAAATATCTCATGGGTAAAATGGCTGAGGAGACTTACAATCATAAACCCCATCTAAGTGTCCCTAACAAACCATTCTCATCCTATACAATCAAATTGCACATTCCACCAAACCAAGATTCTATTACCAACCAACTTATCTCCATGAATCGTACTTCTTCATCCACTTTGCAAACACCAAATAACCTAGTAGATAAACCCCAATAGTCATATCTTGATCTTGTACCCACTAAAACTAATAAGCCTCAGCAAAATTCAAGCTCAACTCTTATTACTTCTAAACAACTTGACACTCCAAGCCCAATCCCTCAAAACTCCACCTTAACCTTTCAAAATCCAAGCCCCAATGCTGCAAGTAAATCTGAAGCTTTGGATAGTATTAACCCAAATGCTATTCCTTTCACTTCTATGCCTCTAAGCAATCTCTTCTCAAACCACCCCCTAATAACAACCACCCAATCAGACAACCCCAATTTCTACAAATCAATTCTACTCGTCTACACAACAATTATTCCTCATTGATGGAATGTTGACACAG